GCACTCATGGGCCTGTCATAGTCACCATCACCATGGGATGTGATTCCCACGGTATAATGCAATGGCAGCAGTGGTCCTAAAATCTGATGCACTTATGGGCCTGTCATACTCACCTTCGCCATAGGATGTGATTCCCACGGTATAATGCAATGACAGCAGTGGTCCTAAAATCTGATGCACTCATGGGCCTGTCATACTCAACATTGCCTTGGGATGTGATTCCCACGGTATAAAGCAATGGCAGCAGTGGTCCTAAAATCTGATGCACTAATGATGGAAGACTTGACTTAACATGAATAGGCCTGTCACACTCACCATCGCCCTGTTATGTGATTCTCACAGTATAACATTATCATCTGAAAAGATTGAAGGTGCCAATAATAATGAGAACATTACCAATACATAAAAAAATTAGAAAACATATGAAACCAGTTAACTCATAAAGAAAGCTGATTACTTGGAACACAAGGTGAGGATCTATATTCTTTAGACACTTTATGAGAATGGAGAAAACGAGTATGTCGTCATAACTGGACAGTTGAAAGTTGAAGTTAAAATGGAGAAAATCAATATAATTGCTCTGGGGTTTTATTGAAGGTGGCTCGGTCTGTCTCCGCAGAATGGCAAGCCACTGTCAAGAGCGCCGCACAAAGAATGTACCCCCTAACTCCCAAAACTAAATCCAGGAATCCCTGTAAAATTTATGCTCATGAACCAAATGACACGGCTGTGAAATGAACCCACGACCTACAGTGTGAGGCATATGGCTTGATAACTTTGCCAGGAAGACCCTGGGAAAGTTGAAAGTGAAGAGAATCAAAGAAAGACCAGTAGAAAATGGACACTTTGGCATCATGAAAAAAACTTTCAGAAATAATTGACAGCCCATGAGACAATGGGTTCTGCCATGGTGCAGTGGCTAGATGCTAGCCTGCAGATCCATAGGTTATGGGCTCAAATCTGTGTGAAGCCAGACTTTTTTTTCCCAAAATGATCTTGGCTCTCAGCTTGACCTAACCTTAAATGGCTACCAAGTGAGTTTCCAGGAAATAAAGGCAGCTGGTATGATGTTGACCACATTACCCCACCGAGTGCCAGTTGGACTATATAAAATGTAGGTCTAGCACAGTATTCCCAAAATACCTGAAGGATTCATTACTTTACTTTACACGAGACAGGAGGATGTGAACAAACATGATTACCAACATCCAACAACTGTATGAAGAATGTTTTTATTGCAACTTATAAAACTAAACATGTATATAATGGTTAGTTGTTGTCTATCAGTCATGAACTTTGGTAACAGTGTTAATGTCATCTCATGTGGCTGTGTGAAGAATTGAAACTTCTGTTGTCAAATGCATGTGGTTGTTAAGAGTTTAGAGTTGACATTACGGTGCTCAGGGCATTTCAATAAAGGGTCCTTACCCATGTTCAGCACCTATTCTAGACTTCCAGTACTAATTGCAGCAATTATATATCAGCTGAGGGCTGATTATATGATCGTTTTGCCTTTTCTCTAAGCCAGGGTTATTCAACTCGCAGCCTGTGAGCCGTGTCTGGCAAGCAGAGACCTAGCAAGTGGCCGCTGATCATAGCCAACTGTATTTATTGTTTTAGTGATATTTCTATGCTGGGCCTCGGGCCTCTGGCCCATGCCGATCCTCATTTTCCAAATTGTGTCCCCTGAATAAACCTAGCCGAATAGCCCTCCTCCAAGCACTGTCTACAAGATCTTCTGGTAACTCCCATGTGCATCATTCTTTCTGGACCATTGTGAACAGTTTGATGTACTGTATTCTTCATGTGCTTACAAAAGGCCTTTACCATATCTGCCTTGTCATGCATCAAGTCTCCACCCATTGATGTAAAGCCAGACAATATGTCTGTTTATTTCCCAGCACACTAGTATACCCTGGAGAAAATATCCACAGAGCACTTACTAAATTTGACCTGTGAAGCAGCATACCAGTCTGCATGCAGCATGCCTGTCTTTTCCTTTCACCGCATGCTTTATGAATGAGTTTTGATCACGTCATGTGCGCTGCCAGCCAGGAGAAAATTGCAGTGACTGCCTCCACTTCCATTCTTATATTAGGTTTTCTATTTGTGTTATATGATGATGGAGGTTCTTTAGCGCCAGCGTTGAATTGTCTTTTGTGATCCTGATGTTGTGAAACAGTCAATTATTGTTTTTGTCTAAGCGACGGTGACATTTAATGTTGGAATGACTCTCCTTCTGATTTGGACTGACATTGTTTTATGTAGTTCACAAATTAGATATTGCCGCAGCATACATCTGACTGTTTGCACAAAATACAGTGTATTTGATTTTGTGCTGAATCTCTAGACTTGATTTTGTGCTGAATCTCTAGACACTTCTTCTGCCTCTTAAAACAGATGCATTTGCATGTAAAGTGATGACGTAAATAGGGAGTGACTTTAGTCAAGCTGACTGAAAAAAAAAAATGCTTTGTCTTGTCTGTCGAGTTTTTCCAGTCATAGTTTGTGCTGTATTTAGTATTCCGTTGTTAAAGACTTTAGTCTCTTAGAGCTCTACGTTTGTGATTGTGTCATCCATATTAGCTTCCACATGCTTTTTTTAAAACGTTAATAATACTTTTTCTTCATCATTCCGAGCCGTTGATGTTCATTACTGCAGCTGCCATCTGCCTCAGTTCTTTTCTGTGAGTGGTATTCTTTTCCAGTCAGTGACTCCAAGTGTTTCTTTTTTTTAAACTGTATTTAACTCTTCACAATCTCCTTGTTATGCCTCATGATCTACTACCATTCATCACTTTTGTATATGCAGTTTCGGTCTCTCTGTTATCCACCATTCTCTTTATATGCCTCAATTGTTGCAGTTCATCAGCCCTTGTAATTAGTGGTGATTTCAACAGATTATGAATTTTGTTATTGTTCTCTCTCTCCATTCTCCACTATTTTCATCTGATAGGTCCAGAGATTTTCAAAACTTCATGATGCTTCATCTTTTTTAGTTTTACTCCAGGTTTTTAACAACCCATAAGACAGTTGGTCTTATAACTGTTTTATATATATTAACAATACCACACAGTCTATTTTCTTCCACTGTCTGTGTTAAATGTGTATTTGGAAATTCACATTAGTTATCATTGCTGTGTTTATTTTGGAATATTCACATTAGTTATCATTGCTGTGTATTTTGAATGTCAAATCTAGCCACTCCAAGAACAGTCCTTAAGTCTGTTAAAAACTGTCTTATCTATCTCATGGTTGCCAGATCACCTAGGAGATTTACCATCTAGGACAGTCTTTATCTAGTTTCTTTGAGTTATGACCCATGTCACTTCCGGCCTTTTCTGACTAGTATTTATTTTTCGTGGCCACAACAGGTCACTAGCTTAAGATATTCTACTGGCTAGAAGGAGATGTGATTTCTGTCAGAAATTACGTCAGTTAAGTGATTTTTGTGTATGAACCAAAGTGTTTGTGGTAGTGTATATTAACATATGTGCTGATGAAGTCTCTAAAGCCACAACATTCACTTTTCGTTTGTGATGTTGTGAGCTGATTGGTGCTACTTTTCGCTTGGTTTTATATCTTTCTATGTATTTTGGAGATTTGCTAGTGAATGTATAAATACATTTACCATTAACAACAAATTAAGCCTCTCTCTGTCCATTTGATGTGAACTTTTATTAATAAATTAAATCTGAAAGGATGGAAAGGTTAGGTCCACAGTTTTTCACATTTTAGTATATATTCGTGAGGATTCCCTGTATGGGTTCTGGGAGGAAAAAGAGTACACCCACTGCTAGAGGTGTTATATTGGAAAATAAAGTGCAGGTACTGACCACATTGTTTCAAAAATGGTGCCAGTACATACTCGCCACAAAGTGTCCAATACAATAGTGCTAAAATATGATGCCTAGAAAATGGTACTGAGTACTGTTGCAAACCTCCAGAAGGAAAAAAAGCCATACCCAGTGCATCTTAACAGGCAGTCATAAAAAGTGACTAATTGAGAATTTGTTGAAATTTGGTGTTTTGGGCAGAGAGGCGTGTATATCAGAGTCTAGCTGTAAACCACACAACAGTGTGCCAACTGCCTTTTTAAAAAGTAAATTCAGCAACAACAAAAAGATTTGGGGTATATTGTCAATGGGCTTTTAAATTATGTGGATGTTACAAATGGTAGTTAATTTGTGATTACAAATTCGTAAATAACACAAAGCAAAATATTTTGATGAAGTTGTCCATTATATAAATGCTGGGAAATATTAGCCTCAGAACTAAAAGAGTTAATTCTTCATACTTAAGGTAATCAATAATTTATGATATATATTATATATGATGTGTGTGTTTGAATTATGTGTCTATATAGGTATGTGTGGTATATGATGTGTGTGTATGTAGGTATGTATTTATGTACCTATGATAAATTATGTACTGATAGGCAGTAGTTGGAAAGGTCCTTCCTGTAGAAATGACAGCGCCCTGGTGAGGAAGAGGGGGAGGGGGGAGGGGATAGTTGAGAATATACACATTGCTTAACATGCATGTCATAAAAGGCTAATTGAAGATTTACTGAACAATAATGTGTTAGACTGAAAGGTACCAATGTTGCAGCCTAGCTGTACACCACAAGACAACTTACCAACTGCCCTTTTAAGGGAGAATGCATAAAAACAGAGTCGCATCAAGATGAGATACTGTACAACATAGAAATCAGAAACTGGAGTGATCACACCTGAGATTGATCATGTCACACTTGTTTCCCCTCTCTCACAAAACACAGCCCCAGAACCAACACAGGGTCAGTTTTAAGACATCTACTTTGTCAAGGATTTCAAGTAATGCTTACTAGTCATTTATCTATTACAGTTTTATGCAATCTATAATGTTTTGACCAAATTTGACCAGATTGACCAAGTGCTGTGTCATTTGAAAATTTTTTTAAATTTTATTTCAGTCATGTCTCCTTGATTTCAAAAATGTGTTTTTGATTTTAACTTTAGGGTGCATTCCCGGCACATTTGGGCCTGACTGCCTGTACACCTGCAAGAACTGCCTGAATGGGGCCAGATGTAACCTGCAGCAGGACGCCTGTATCTGTCAACCTGGATGGAGGGGGATCTTATGTAATGAGATGTGTCCTGAGGTAATACAGTAACTGTAAATGGAAGTTAACCAAGGAGAGGTTTTATTTTAAAAGCTTTTTTGCTATAGGACAAATCTGGATAATGAAATCGCAAACAATATTTTGTAAAATTTACTGCCTGTCATATTTCTTTATATCTTGTTAGGGGCATAGTGCAGGAATAAATCATTATCTTCCTATTTAACTTTTTCATTCCCAGGGGGTTCAGCCTCAGATGCCTAAGGGGTAGTAAAAAACAATGTAAAACCATGGCATCTTGGGTTCATTGGGTTTCTGGGCAGGAACCTCTGAACATGTGATGCCATCCTTTAGGACTAAAAGATTTTAATTCACGGGCTGTAAATTCTGGTGGAAAGTTCTGGTTGTTCATCCACTTCTTAGCTTTTGTTTTGTTCTAGACTTGAGCTATGCATGCACAGTCATTTTAGAGATATAGCTTATTTGTGTGCTGACTATTGGTTCTTCGCCTGTCAGACAGCTCGACTCGAGATTTGTAGATAGGTCATGACCTGTGTGAACCAGGTTGATGTGCTGCATAGTCCAGCTCGGCATATCTGTATCTCAGAATCAAAATAACAGGTAGGAAAAGTATAATCCTGATAGCAGTAGTTATCAGAGGAAGTATATGATGATATTCTGAGGTGAAGAATCACAAAACAGGTACTGAAATGGGAGACAAAGTGTTTGAGAAATGAAGGCTTCCCAAAAGAAACCCAACGATAAACATTGGTGAGAGAGACTGCAGGTGCTGGGCTGGGTGTAATACATGAAATAAAAAGCATTACACAGGATAAAATGGAATGTAGGTGTCATTTGGGTAGATGGTTAATGTAGACCAGTGTTTCCTAATGTGGAGCCCACACATCACAGTGGGGCAATTCGAGTGTTAAGGGGGACAGTTTGATTGTTAAAGGGAGGGAGGGTAAATTAGAAAATGGACTCATCCAGTGTTTAAGTTACATAGGGGGCGCACAAATTTAGATTTAGGAGGGGCATGGCACCCAAAAAAAAAGGGACAAGAATGTTAAGCATCCGCTGTCACAGTGCAAACAAACATGGTGATGTCATAATAAAAGCCGGACTTCTGTGACAGACTGTTCACAACTGGGTCAGGCACACATAGTAGTGACCCCAGTGTCGATTACAGTCGTTTTGAAACTCCCTACTCTACCCATACAGCAATTGCAGCTGTCCATGTTAATTATCAATATCACTTCAGGGCACATATGGCAATGATTGCAACAGTCCGTGCCGCTGCAAGAACGGAGGAAAATGTGACCATGTGACTGGGACCTGCAAGTGTCCTGCTGGTATTGAGGGCGAGTTCTGTGAGGATGGTTGTCCACCAGGTTTCTATGGAGACAATTGTGATCAGGTGAGAATATTCATAGTTCTGGAGCCCACTTTATTGTCACACTCATGGTTTGATCATGTAGTTAGTTTTTTCTGCTTTCGTTTTTAACCTTGTCGCTCTAAGAAGACTAAATCTAGCCCCTTCTGGTTGGGGCATAGTCTTGTGAATGCTAATATATTGGCCTGACTGCAGTGACCTGTTCTCAGAAAGCGTGGTTAAATTCCTTTGGTTCTGTGTGTGCCTACACAGTGTACAGTAGACCAGGATATGAATATATTAACTAAGACCCCAATGACTTTTTAAAGCCAAATTGATGTCAGAATTTGTCCTGTAAGCTTGTGTGATAGAGGTCATATCTTCAAGACACCCAGTTCATATGTTGATTTTTTTTAAGCCCTGAGAAATATATTCTGTTCAATGCTTCACTCTGTGTTTATTGATTGAAATGTTCTTTTTTTATTTATCTTTATAGACATCTTTGTATATTTGAAAAAACAGTTTTTAAATGTAGATAAATAAGTTTGTCAACAATTTATTATGATCATTATTATTTGGTCATTTTTGTTTGAAGGCTTTTGTTTTTGTTGATTGGGGGGAAAGGGGAGATTGGGGATGGGATTGCCACATGTTCATTTGCATTTTTAAAAATAAAATTCCCGGGTTGAAAGGATTAGTTTGGACAGAGAAATGATTATTGTTTTTCAACCATCGCAGCTCTTGACTTCACCCACTCAACCTCATTAAAATAGGTACTAGACCATTTTCAGGAAAATTTATGGGGAAAAGTGGCAGTGAAGAAAGAGACTCTGCCAACTTGTATGTCATGCCCTAGAATGTGTGAAGGCCTGACAGTCCACACTACAGTTGCAGTAATTATCATCACCATCAAGTGCCTTGCCAACTGGCAATGGCGATCATGCCTCTCCACAATGTGTGATCTTCAACAGCATGTATCAGTTCATCTGTTGACACCTAGCCCTGCCTTGGCAAATGGCTGTCAAGAATCTTCTTGCGCTGTCTTCCTCTATCTCTCTTTCAACAAATCTTTCCTGTGGTCACTCAATTTTCCAGTTTCATTCTTCTCCTTAAATAGCAAAAAAAATGATAACTTTCCCTTCTGTTGTTTGTAATAAGTTGTCTTCAGGCCTTCACCTCTAACCCTCTCGCCCCACTAAAATAAAATGGTTTATGACCCTATTTGAATTCAGAGAAATATATGTATTGGATTACTCATGCCCAGATTCCATGACCTTTATCACTGAGGCTTACAGGAATATTGAACGTTAACTTGGCTTTTGAAAATCTGTTTGGCTAAAAGGACATCCCCCCCCCCCCCCCCTTTCCCCCAATGGACATTCTGTGGGGTTTTCTTAGGTAAGGTAACAAAACAACTATGGGGTGACCTATGAAGTTGGAATGGCAGTTATTTGACTAGGTTCCCTAATCTCTTCCATGGTGTGAATGAATGAATCAAGAACTGACATCATTGCATTCAGAACATTCTCCCACATGCTCCATTCCCTTCTTCAGTAACCAGCGAGCAATTGACATGCTAATAGTACCAGTTCTGACCGGATTAAAAGTCAGCCTGTGTTTTCCCTCAGTGTTGAATATCTTCCAGAATCTACTCAGTGTGAATATCATACTGTCATCCAAACAGGTCATCAAAGAACAACAAATGAAGTGGTTTGGACACCTAACAAGAATGCCCTGGTACTATCCGCCACAGCAAGCCACACTAAAACGTTACAACGGGTATAGAGCGAGTGGAAGATCTCAGAAAAGATGGAGTGATGGCATTAAGAACAGCCTTACAGAAATGAACATCAGTCTTAATAGTGCTCTGGACAGAGCCCATCAACAAACATTACATCTCCCCCCGACACTTCGATGAGGTACAAGGTGGAAGAGAAGAAGAAGAAGATCCAAACAACAAAAAGGCCTTTTGCCCTTTTCAAATAAACCATCCTCAGGGAAAAATCAAACCTTATTTCTCAAATATCATTAAATTATTAAATACTTTCACTTACCTCTGAGCTGCAGAGAAACGCAATAACTGTTATGGTGCTGCTTTTAACCCAAGACATTGTCTGGAATATTGCCTTTAGCATTTGCTATCTCTAATCATATTATCGCACATGTGATGTCATCAACTGACTTTTGGCTTAGTGATTCATGCAGTGCATTGAAAGTGAATGGGAAAACAGTAAAAGAAGAAAGTCAGGCATTCAGTTCAACTACTTCTAACATGATGAGGGAAATAGCAGCTGTCACAGGGGCACTTGCATGGCTGGCGGAGCAGAAAATAACTCAGGCATTGATAGTGATGTTCCCAGAGCGCATGCTTAAGAATATCCACAACAGGCAAACTCTGACTAGAAAGGGTTGACATCATCCAGAAGTACTGCTCAAGAAATTATCTTGACTGAACACTTGAGAATACGCAGCAGGAAAAGGGAATATAAGAGCTGACAGACTGACCATGTTTGCATTGGTTTGTGGAGGGAAAAGTATGGGCAGAGCAGACACACTGAATGTGCTGTGTTCCACAGATATTGAGACAAAGGAGTCAGAGACTTTGAGCCACCTGCTGGAAATGGGTTTTAAACGAGGACAAGCATGTAGAAATGAGTTGCGGAGCAAAGAAAGAGGATAATGTCAGTCAGTTTCTAGTGGGTACAGTGTGCATGGAAACACTGAGTTGTCTGCTGCATTGAAAGAATGGAGCGTGAATGTGCCAGCCTGATATGCTAGAATGTCAGTGCAGACAACAACTAACAAGTAATTTGTCATCTCTAAACAGGTGTGCCCGTATAAGTGTGCAAGTGGCTACTGCAATAGAAAACATGGTGTATGCAACTGCCGGCCCGGACGCTTCGGCTTATCCTGTAACCAGCCTTGTCCTCCATTTGCTTACGGCTATAACTGCATGCAACCATGTAGTTGTAACAGAGAGAACTCCCAGGGCTGTGACCCTGAGGTAAGTCTGTCTTACCTGTAATTTTTCTTTTTCATTGTTTGCCAGAGTGATATAATTTGCATTGTGTCAGCATTGACCTGCTGTCCCCTAACAAGCAAGTTGTAAAAGTTGACTTGCTGAAATTGGATGTCTCAGACCAGTGGCTTTCAACCTTCCTAATGTCGCGACCCTTTAATACTGTTCCTCCTGTTGTGGTGACCCCCAGCCATAAAATTAATTTTGTTGCTACTTCATAACTCAATAAAATATGTGTTTTCCTATGGTCTTTGGCGACCCCTGTGAAAGTGTCATTCGACCCACACACAAAAACAGTCGTGACTTACAGGTTGAGAACCACTGTCTTAGACCAAAACATGCAGATATCACTGCCTAGTTCTAAACCACAGCACAACATGTCAGACTCCCTTTTCAGGGTGAACGTTCAAGAAGGAAGTTGTCAAACTGATAAATCTGTCTAATTCGTATCTCTGTAAATCAGTGTGACACTGGGGTAAATCTGTCCATTTGAATATATATTGTGGAGTCTGTTTACTGATTGTTAACTGATTGATGTCTCTATTTCTGTATCATTTTCATGTCCCTGCTGACACAAAAGGCATTGACAAGTGATCTGCATTGCTGCCAATCTTCTGCTTCGCACAGTCGTACACTTGGACCATCTGCTACTGATACGCGCTGACTGGTCCTTGTCCTGACAGGAACTGGGAAAATACTAGCAATTTGCTAAAAAGACTCACACAGCCAGCAAAACTTTCTAGTGCAGCTTTCAGTCAGCATGCTGGCAGCAGTCTGAAGTGAATTCTTAGACTGCTCTCTGTATTAAACTTTCCTCTAGCAGAGTTAGCTCCTCCTATTTCTCCTCTTGAACCTGTCTTGTTCAAGGGATGTCAAAAGCTCCTCCAGTTTGCATGTCAGTCCAGAAGGCTCAACACTTGTTAGCATTCCTAAGGTCTGTCTACTAGACCTGGCTTTACATATTCATAAAAAGAGTCACACCTTTCTTTCCCCTCCAGTCTGCCAAATACTTTAAAACCTGGTCCAATGTTGTCTGCTAGCACCTCATTCTAGAAGGTGTCAACCCTAGCCCTGGCCTGCAGTTCAAGAAAGATAATCCCAGGGGGAGATAATTGTCTTTATGACCAGTTGTCTGCCCCTAAGGGTCTGGCTTCAAGATAATTACATGACACCTCTGGTTAGGGGGTCTGTACTTTCAGTTCACTGGTGCCACTATGACTAACTGGTCAGTGTTATCTGTATGCTTGACACCTTACCTCTGGGCAAGATTCTGAGTGTTTTGATATCTACTGCAGGCCTGTTAAATTAAAAAGCTTTGTTCTGATTGACCTAGATTAAAGTTACAGCCCAGGATCATGTTTTCGTGCATACTTTAAAATACATAGAAAAAAAATTAGGTTAAGGAAAGACTTGTTCTGAAGTCAAGAGCCTGTCCTCACAGCATCTCATTTCCATGGTTACTGTCCGACAAAATTAAACCTGCCGGGGGCACAAGTTCTCTAACGGCATGGCTCTGTGAATCATTTAAAGCACACAAGCCATCCTGCAATTGATGCCTTCTTATAGTCAATGCCTTTTGGGGTTGGTAGTCATGTCTATCCACAATCTTCTGTCTCATTCTCATGTACTTTCAGTCAGTTCTGACACATGATCTTCAATACCGTGTGGTGTTGATAGTCCTCTCTATCTACAGCCTTCTGTCTCATGTACTTTCAATGCTAGGAAACAGTACGGAGGCTTGAATAGATCACCATGATCTGAGGAGAATGGGAAATGGTAAAGTGACCATCTCATCTGCCTGACGCTCAGCACTCAGTGCAGTATGGACATACAATTAGACTGTTACTAGTACCACTGGAAATGGAACTCTGCACTTTGTTGCTAAAGGCTGGGACGGGCACTTATGGGAATGTCCAGAGTGCTATGATATCAGTTTTTAACTCATAAGTCACAGCTGTCCACAGAAATGGAGATGAAAAAAATATGCCTGCTAGTAAGATCTTAGAAATGTATGGCAGTTTATCAATTAGGAAAATCAAATCATTGGACAGATGTCACCAATATTGCAGAACAAGCTCAACTGTAAGTGTTCCTAGATCCCATTTTGGAAGATGGGGATGGGAGGGGGGAATAGATCCACTGGTTACTAACAAGTGTGTCATAAAAGTTGAATAATTATGGTTTTTGCTTTGAATTTGGAGTACATCTGCCTGAGGCACAAAACCAACAGTATACACACAGATAAGCCATATATTTTCTGAAATACGATTAAAAGTCCAGATTGGATAAATAACTAGAAATTTCCTGTAATGTTTACAGCTGGTGAGTAGAAAGAAGAAGAAGAAAGCAGAAGAAACATGTAACAATTGACACCAAAAGAGCACTCTTCTATACAGTATATTTACCAGCATTGTGTTACGAGTGCCAGACTTGGACATTAGCAACGAAAGAAAAAAATTGAAGCAGCAGAAAGAAAATATCCATGATAAATCCTCAATGTAACTAGAAGAGGCAAAATCAGAAGTGACGGTATAAGGAAACACATTGGGAGAGAACAATGGTGCACTACAGACCTAGAGGTCAACCACACAAGCAATGGATAGATGAAATATCCAATTCCGTAAATGGCAATAACTACGAAACAAATACCAAGGCTTGCACCCTGTCTTCAAAACCTGATTCTGAAAGGTGAAACAGGATTAGAAGAGAAGAAAAGCAGTATCTAAGGTTACTAAAACAAGTTTGTATATTTTCTCAACTACTAGACAGGGACATGTGTCTGTAAGCCTGGGTATGAAGGAGATCGCTGTGAACACCAGTGTCAGCCTGGCTTCTTCGGCAAGAACTGTGAGAAGAAATGTGAGTGTACTGATGGCACAAAGTGCAACCACATCACTGGTCATTGCTTGAGGGAGTGTCCGGCTGGCTGGGCAGGTCCCAGGTGCGACGAAAGTGAGTACTGTATTTATTGTTAGAAGAAGATGTTTTAGTCGATGTATGCCTGATATATTCAGATGTGTGTGGCTTATAGGTTAATTAACACATCTTGCAGTCCTTAACATAGCAAGCTTAGATTGTAACAACGGGCAGTTTGGAAGAAAAAAGACAGTATAGTGCATAGTAGTATTGGTGGCAGCCTTAGAACTTATGCGGAACACTCAGAGAACATAATGGAACCATAATAGGACTGGCCCATATCAGGACACCTCGACAAGGACATAGATAAGGACATAGATCTCAGGGTCAGATAATAGGACTCAGTACCTCAGAAATAGAAACCACCAAATAATATATAAGGAGAACTATACAATTATATTTAAGTCACACCCTAAACAGAGGAAGAGGGTCACACAAAATAAAAGCCTGATCGGAACCAAAAGAGAAGACCCAGACATGTTCAGAAAGACAATACCATACACAGATAGGGACAATAAGCCACAGCTACTGGCACTACAAACCAATCAAGCCATTGAACTTGGTGCAGATAAAATCAGACCACAATTATAAATGAAGCTATCCTCAGCAGGGTTGAATTTGTAATTTTTTTCTCTCTCAGAAGAATAAATGATTAAAGACTATTCTGTTAGCATTCAGATGCTGTTACCAGAGTTGCACAGTAGAAGAGATTGGGATCTCACAACCTAACGTTCTCAACGACAGTGACTGATGCACATATTTACTGCTGCCATCCTCCATAATGGAGGCACATGTTTTTAAAAATTCCAATATAAGAACTCAAAAGCTCATCACTGTATTGTATGTTCTGCATTCATTTATACTCTTGAATGAATGAATGAATGAAGGAATGAATCAGAAGTTAAACCTCTCATGTGCTTCGTCTCTTCTTCAGTAGCCGACTAAGAGTTGATGTGCTAATTGTTTCTGTTATATCTGATTAAAAGTCCACCTATGTTTTTTCCTGCAGTGTTGAAAATCTTCCAGATCCCCTGCTCACCCCTCACTGAACTAGTCTATCAGTGTATGAATAATACATGGCCCATTCTGTTGGGCCGTGGGCGGCATTAGCGCAGTCGATAAGAAGCTTGCTTTCAAATCCAGCTGCAACTCACAGCCAGCGGTCAGTTTTCTAAACCGGGCGGCTCCTGGGGTTCACCCAGCCTCTAGGAAATGAGTACCAGAGTTGACACTCTGGGGTAAATGGAGGAACGTCGCTGTAGCAACAGAGTTACATGCGAATGGCAACACAGGCGGACAATTCTTATCAGCTGTCCGTACTGGTGGCAGAGCACTTGTGGTTTATAACCGTGTGCAAGGACGCTGGTTCACATCTCCCAACTTTACCTTTACCTTTTACCATTCTGTGCGTTTTTGAAACTGTTGCACTCTCAGTTACTACTTTTATTGTTTTCTGTGGAAAAAGTCACAGATCACTCACAGTTTACACTAACTAACCTTTGAATGTTGCTTCTTCTCCTCGTCCTCCTCCTCTTCTTCTGCTTCTTCCTCCTCCTTCTCCTCTTTTTCTTCTTCTTTTTCAAATGGGTACCAGATATCCTGGAAAGTAAAGGTCGTTGGTGTTATGCTGACTACATTGCGGATTGAGTGCTGATTGGTATATAATTATTTGTGCATCATCTGACCAGTACACCAGTGGCATTTAAAAAAAAAGATTGCTTTATTTTTTTAAAATATGTTTATAACTTTTTGTTGTTGTTGCTTATGTTAATCCTTTTATGTTAAACCCTTTTGCTTTGAGAAGGCTAAATATAGTAACTCCTGGTTCTGATACAGCTCAGTAAATGCCAGTATACTGCCATTTCTGCAGTGGTCTTTTCTCAGAAAGCATAGTGAAGTGCCTTCAGTTCTGTATGTGACTACATCGTGCTTAGGAGACCCTGATGTGAATATATTAACTAAATATAACATTGAGAGAGGTTCCTTGTGGATCCAATACCAATTCTAAAGTCAGGTTGACTTAAAATTTCAGTGCCTCAGTGATAAAGGCGATGGGGTCACGGCATGAGTCACCTGATACATATTGTCTTAGGCCCCTGGAAAAGCATTCCACCTGATGCCTCTAGTTTTGTTTACTGATCACTTCCTTTATATATTTCAAAACATAAAATGTAAAAATTGGATAAAAACCTTTTAAACAGTTGATTAGTTGTATGTGTAAAATATTTAATTTTTAAAAAGGAATTTTTTGAGCCATTTTTTCAAACCCTTCACAGAGCAAAAGGGTCACTATACTTTCTTTTTGTTGATGTTCAATTATTGTGCCCAGACTTGATTGTGTACATGTGTGCACATCCCCTGTTGTACTTAGTTTATTTATCCTAACCAATGTGTGATTTTATTTATGCTTGTAATACATATCTACCCACAACCTCTTGTCCTCTTAACTGTCTATGGTGTAAGAGAGTCCAGTTTCTCACCTGCTGCTTTTTTTTCCTTCTAACTTTCCTGCTGACACAATATATTCAAGTTTTCCCCTTCTTGTGACCTTTCCAGAGAAAAAGGATTATCCTCTTTTGATGTAGGTATTCATTTCTCTTCATGAGGCAGTTTCTCTCCAGACATCTTCATTAAAACCATATCCTGATTTAAAACCACAACTTCTCTGTGTGGGTTCCTAGACCCCAACATGAGGGAAATTATAACCACTGTCCCGTAACAAGTATGCCGTAAATGTTGACTAATTAGGAGTGTTTTATTTGAAGTCAGAGTTTGTCTGAGAAGCAAGTAACCTTTAGTCTTCTGGAAAAGAGTAAATTCAAAAGTAGATGCACAACCAGGACTTTTCCTCTGGAGTTTACATATCTGGTGAATGAAGAAGAAGAAAACTACATGTCTGCGGTTTCCACATATTTTTTCCACAAATCAGCTGACTATCCATGATTGACCTCCATACATCAGGATTAGCTCTGTCAACATTGTCAGATGCTTTGCTGGCTAGCACGGGTGACTGAATATCCACAACTTGCAGTCTCCTACAGAAACAAATCAGTCCTTGTAACTGACACTCTTCCATGCCATGGCAAAAGGCTGTTGTGAATCTTCTTGCATCGTCTTCCTCAAACTTTCTTTCCGTAAATCTTTCAGTTTTTAGAACACTTTCCAGTTTCTTCTCATAACACAGCCACAGAATTATGTCTGTCTTTTTCTGTATATAACTTTGTTTCCTACTTTTTTCTAATATATTTATTGATGTGCACCTTAATAATATAACTATGCCTGCTTTTTATTTGCGTCACAAGTTTTGTTTCATTTCTGTTGCACCATGATTTGCCATCCTGCCGCCCCGTACTTCTTTGATGCCTATGGTGTGCATGCTTGTCCAGCATGTGGCCCAGGGAAGCATGGGAAATACTGCATGGAGGATTGTGATTGTGAAGGGAATCACTGTGACCCGGAGACTGGCAAATGTATTTGTGCTGCTGGATATCATGGAAGAAAGTGTAAAAAGTGTGAGTCTTCTTTCAGCAGCTGACCTACCGACTGATTCTTTTAATAAATAATGTCTCTATCAGGTTATTCGGAACAGAGGCTGGTGTAGTCTTAGTGTCTCACTTTACCATAAACGTATTTTCAGACATTCATTTGGTAGTTTTTCACATTTCACATTTGCAGAAGTTTACAAGCAAACATGTACAAACATGATAGCTGTCCAGACTTTCTTTTTTTGTTTGTGTTAATTTCACCAGGGCTTTCACATACACTGTATAACTATTGAGATATCTTCAGTGTAGAGTATCCATCTGGGCATTTGTTTAGAATATATGACAGAATACAACAAAATCGCCTAAATATTACTGTCGTTGTCTTGGCGAGGCTCCAACTTCACTGCAGATGGGTCTCTTCAAAACTGCTCCATTCCTGTGCTAGTGGAAATCGCACAAAATGTCCTTCACTTTCCCATTTAAAAACTAGAGGAAAACTTGTCAGTCACATCCAAATCTTGAAGCTTGCATACACAGTGTAAAAATACATAAGGCAGCTGTAATATATGCCAACACTAAATATTGCCAATCTGTACCTAATTATAGCATCCAATTGCACTGCTGAATTATCACCTTGTTTAATTCTAATATCTCTCTTCTGAAATATAAGGATCCATTATTGGTTTTGCCCACTCTGCTGGTTTCTGAGCTTGGTATGGGGAAGGTGAGTTCTGCAACACAGTCCCTGTAGACATGGGACATTAAAACTAGGTCAGGAGAAATAACAATCAAATAGCATTCAATTTGTATATTCAAAGCAATATCGTTTGATACAAATTTAATATAAATTGTTAAATGTTCATTTGAATACTTGAACGCTAATGCATGTAAATCAATGACATAAGTCAAGAAGATTAATTTATCTACAAAAATGGTTAATCCTTTAATCTGAGAAGCCCCTTAGGAAAAGACAGAATTCACAAATTCTCAACAGCCAAAAAATATGAATTTTTTTTTTGAAAACTTTTAAAATTAGCTGTCAATGTTTGTGAAAATCAAACAACTGAAAATTATTTAGGTACTTAAACTGCTCCAACATGCTGAGAGAAGAAATACAATCTGGAAATAAAGTATACTCTGCCCTTCAACACTGCTAAAGTTAGTCTCTATCTCACTACACAAGATCAAAATATATAAAACGTTGAAAAGACCAGTCGTTTTAGATGGATCTTGAAACTTGGAGCACAACTAGAAGAGATGACATTTTAGAAAACAGAGTATTACGACAAATTTTTGGAGCCATCAAAAATGCCAACAGCAGGGAATGGAGAGTGAGAAGCAACAATGAAATTCATAATCTGTTTAAATCACCATTGATCACTAGTATCATAAGATTTAATAGACTGAAATTGCTTTAATGTATTGAATATCAAATGACAGAGAGGTTGAAATAAAATAAAAAATTAAAAAATGCAGTTTTTCCCCCCCTAAAAAAATACTGCATCTTTGGTACTATTTTTAGTAAATATAATCACATCTAGCTCTCTTTAACACTGCGAAGGCACAGACAGAACCAGTACCATTAACCAGGCTTAAAGGGGATTGGCCAAAGATGTGACTGACTGACTGACTTTCTACCCCACTAGGACATCACACAAGCGATAAACACCCGATGACACAAAGTGCCACCATGTGGATGAGGATCGACGTGGAGAGGTCCCAGAAACCGCGTTCAGACAATTGGCCATATTGATGGCCTGCCTATATTGCGGCCCCTGGCAAAAGCCAGAGTGGGGCTTCAAATAACAAAAAATTATATCCTGACAAGAACCAAAGATGTAAAACCACAACATTTCTGCCATTCCCCCATGTGGGTTCCGGGGCCCCATTGTGGGGAAAACAAGAATAGACCCACTGCCTCCCCAAAAGCATGTCGTAAGAGTCGACTAATTGGGGAGCTTCCTTTGAAGTCGGAGTGCCTCTGCCGGAGAGGCAAGGAACCAACAGTCTGTATTCAAGAGAATGAGATCTGTAAAACTGATGCACACGCAACACTCATGTTCTGGAGCAGGACTGCAGTTCAGTAGTGGACGAGCAACCAGAACCTTCCGCCAGAGTTTACAGCTGGTGAATGACTGACTGACTTTTTACCCCACCAGGACATCACACAAGCGATAAACACCCGATGACACAAAGTGCCACCATGCGGATGAGGATCACCGTGGAGAGGTCCCAGAAACTGCGTTCAGACAATTGGCCATATTGATGGCCTGCCTATATTGCGGCCCCTGGCAAAAGCCAGAGTGGGGCTTCAAATAACAAAAAATTACGTCCTAAGAAGGACGTAAAGAATAGGTAACTGGTGAATGCGAAGAAGAAGATTTCTGCCATACGAGGATTTGTAATGGATGCAAAGTTACAGTATTGGTTTTTTGTGGCCAAAGGCTTAAATCATATTGCCTTCACCGACCTTTTCTTCTCAACCCGCTGTATCTGTCAGTGGTGTCTTGAATGTGTCTTTCATTTATCATGCTGAAAAGAAGTTTCAAAAAATCGGTTTGCATTGTTTTCATTAGTTGTAATCTTATTATTGTATATTTGAATTGCCTCCCTTTCTGTTCTTCATTTTATTGTCTCCATCTATCATTTGTTCATTTTATTATTGTCTTACATGGTTTGTATTTTAATCCCTATGAGTTTGAATTTTACTTTAGGAATTGTTGTGCCCCAGCTTTAAGTATTTATATCACATTAATTGTTTAATGTTTTGTGCACTGTTGTTTTCTTGTTTGTATAATTTTTTGATGTTTCTTCATGCTGCTTATTCTGTTTATTGAAACAACAATTCTTGTAAATGTTTCTTGTTGCTTCCATTATATTTAAGAAAAGCAAATTAAAATAAAATACTTTACTGTTTGCAACTATGAGAAAGAGACTGTTCATTAGTTATGTTAGTCATTGGTCAATGTTCCATTATCACAACAAACAGATATGCCCATAACTGCTCCGTTTTTGTACCAGTGGAAATCACAAAAAATGTCCTTCACTATTCCATTTGAAAACTTGAAAAAACTTGTCAGTCCTAGCAAAATCTTAAGCTTGCACAGGCAGAGGGATAAGGCATAGATAGATAGTGGTAGTAAGTTTCCCTTAAGATAATTGATTGGCCTAACTGATGCAACAATTTAGTATGTGTAAACCCACTATAGCAATTGTTTTTTTTTTTTTCTTTGTAACCACCATTACTATTAAATATATATATATTTTTTTTTAGTGATTCCAGTAAGGAACTTAACAGTGCACTATTTGTGTCTTAATGAGAACTGATTAAGAATCTACACCAGTGTGATTGGCACATTGTGCTTTAGTTAACAGCCAGGCTGCAATAGCTATGCCTTTTGGTCCAACACATCCAGTTTCAGAATAACTCCTCGCTATAAAACTACACTGGGAGTGTGAATGATGAGTGTTAGAAAGGGATGAATGTGAGACGGCCTGCGTGCCTAATTTGTTAGCCTTTGAAACTAAGTTCTGTTCGTTCCTCAAAATGTACCCTGGATCTCACGTGGGGAACCATAATTATTGATGAGCAAACATAAAATAATGCATCCGTGGCCATGTTGCTAAATTATTCACTCCAGTTTTGTACCTCATCCTTCTTTTCACAGTTGTAGGAATTTCAAATATTCCTAAAGATCATCATTGGAGCTGTGAAACTTTTTGCTCTGTGTGGTGCTTTTGGCGAGTAAACTGTCACTCTGTGAAGAGATACTGAGCCATTTAGGATAAAACCCTTTGCAGTAAATGTTATTTCCCCTTGTTGAATGGTGAGAATGCTGGGAACCTGGGTTTGAATCATTAGTAAGGTGATCAACTTAAAAAAAAAAATCTTTTTGGGGCAGAAATAAACATTGTCATCTGAACAGTTCATGGTGACTGCCCTCAAATTCAAGGATCAAGGTACCCCCTCCCCCCCCCCCCCCCCCCCCCCCCACCTCCCCCCACTGGTCTACGCCACTTTAAAATATGCTACTGCAAATGGTCAAGACAGTTTCAGACACCCTTGAAACATCCATATTCAAGTTGTATTTCATCTTTGTCTGCACTGTTTGTATGATGTTAGCCATTTTAATGATGATAATGACCTGATCCAGTTACATTTGCTGAAAGATATCATATTGTTACAGCATGCCCTGAAGGCAGTTGGGGCATCAGTTGCAAGAACAAGTGCATTTGTGAGAACGGAGCTGCCTGTGACAAGATCACTGGAGAATGTCTCTGTCTGGATGGCTGGTATGGAGAACACTGTCAAGAAGGTAGGTTGGGTGGTCGTTGTCCCACTCCAGGAATGCTGTCCGTATCATTAACACCTCAGGGATGAGAATTAAACAGGACCAAACCTCAGAAACTGCGTTCAACCGTATAGTAAAAAAAAAGGAAAGAAAAAAAAAAGTAAAGATCCCTTTTCACGCCTTTAGGCATATGGGGTATATGGGAAGAGAGCCCATATTTTTACAGACAATCGGCACTAGGTGGTTAATGTGGTCAATATTGCGCCGACCGTCATTACTTAAGCAGGACAGCCATCCTGGTACCCATCTTAGGCTGGGTTGACCTGCGACACCCCATACCATGATAAAAATCCACGCAGCCAGCAGTGGGTTTCAATCGCGTTTCATTAGAATTACGAGTTGGACTCACAATGCCTAAGCCATGTTCAACCGTATACCGTAGTCATATTTTGGGTACCTGCACAGTTATAAACAGTGGGGGGGGGGGGGGGGGGGGGGGGGGGGTTTTGAACTAGTCAAAGAGGTGGATGGTATACTTATACTTAGAATCATTATGTTCCTGGTCTTTACCCCTAGATGACTGCAGGTTACAACCGGCTGGTGCAGCCATTATGGGTGCCCTAATTTAAAACATCTTTAGAGGTTGAACGGGGAATCTGGGATCTACCTTGTTGGTCTGCCATCCTGACTAAGATTTTTTTTTTTTAAACCTCGGATGCTATGGTAAAGTTTGAGGCAGCAGCCCGGACAAATTGGTCCGATAGAGCAATTTATATGCCTTAACAGATGGTAAATTACACGAGTAAAATCTCACACTAGAGCATTTGATAAAGTGAAACATAAGAAATTATTAGAATTTTTGAAAGCTTAAACACCGATATTAAGGATTTAGGATAGTAATAACAATAAAAAAAACGTTTACTGGCAACAAGAAACAAATAATAACGGATAACCAGTTTGGAACTTTTCAAAACAAACCAGGTGTTTAGACAGGGATATTTACTGTCACTCAATTTATTTAATTTGTACAGTGAAATAATAATTGCATCATAGGCCAGGAATATTGGTTGGCGGGAATTTTGACAACAACCTCTGGTATGTTGACAATAAATTGTGATTGCTGAATCGCTGAAAAAGAAACACAGCTGCAACAAACTGTGAAAAAAGGTTAAAATAAAAGTCTTAGTTTGAACAGTAGAAAAACGGAAGTAATGGAATTACAAAGAAAATGGACCTTCCAAGATGCAGCATCAAAGTTAGGGGACAATCCTCAAGCAAGTTAATACATTCAAATACTTGGGTACCCTGATAACAGGAGCTGGAAGTAATATTTAAAGAAGCCGGAACCCAAATGTTGATCAAATTCAGTTAACATCATTAAGACTACAAAGAATATGGTGTTGGTAGCCTATGCTCCACTTAGAGATAAAGGCTTAAGATGAAGATGAGAATGTGTAGAATAGCTTTCTACAAGAACAGTTTATTTTATGTAAAATATTATGAAAGACAAAAAAGGTTTGGAAAAGTTTGTTCCAAGGTACTTGTGTTACCTTTCATTTTAAGAAAACAAGGCAGACCGAGTGATGGATCATGATCATTGGGTGACACATGGTCTCTACAAAACTTCCCTGGCTTTGTGCTTATTGCGAGGTGTCTTAACACATTCCGGTCTTGCTAGACACACTGTGAGTCCCGTGCCTCCTCATAGCACAATATAACACTGTCGTCTGGAAAGTCAAAAAGGTACCAAAAACATTGAAGGCAAAAAAGAACGATTAAATGAGTTTATAAGATGCTTCTTTGTCTTTTTTCTGCTTCTTTTTCTCCTCCTTCTTCTTCTTTGAGTGAAACTTCTTTGAATAAGGTTTTGACTCTTTTAGCCAGTATTCCCTTCTTAATGAACTGTACGAGAGACAGTCTTGCAGGGCACAGCCCACATGGGCACAGGGGTGAACTACTAATAGGATGCTAATTCTGATGTTAGGACAATTATCATATGGCACTAAAGTCCTCGAAGAAGATTAAAGAGTCAAGAAGACGACGAACCACCAGGACTTTTAGCCAGAGTGTACAACCAGTAGACACAAAGAAGAACAAACAAACGAACTTTATTTCTAAAGAGTCCCAATTTGGGCATGCAGGCCTGTTTTACGGGACCAGAAGAAGAAAATGACATTATCGCAAAACTCTTGACAGAATTCTTTGAAAAAAACATGTTGATCAATGTCAAATAACAAAGTTTGTTAGAAAAAGAGCATGACGTCTTGGTTTCATTTAAGAATTGAGCCACTGTGGTCTTGTGCCTTTCAGCGTGTCCAAAGGACAGATTTGGTGGTCTGTGCATGATGAAATGTATGTGTGAAAATGGTGCAGCTTGCAATCCTGTTGACGGGACCTGTTCTTGCTCACCGGGATGGACAGGCCAGATTTGTGATAGAGGTAACTGGTAATTTTGTATATATATATATTTATGGGTTTTTCAATTAAGCTGAGTTAAACTTTCTACCTTCAAAAGCTGGAAAAAGATTGAGGGGGGGGAGGGGAGGGAGGGGGATAATAATTCCAGGTTTAAAAAAATGTGTAAAGTATCAGAATTTGGCTCTACTTGGAATAACGGTTCTAAATTAACTACACAGAAAGTTAATCCCAAACAGAGCCTCATTACGTCCTGCCCTACAAACATTTAAAAGCTGTAACTCGGGAAATATAAGGAGCGGAAAGTATCAGGAAAAGGGCAAAGTCTACTACTTACAGAAAAGTAAATCCGTGATATGTGGAAATTGTGCGACAGTAGTTGCAAATAGTGCGCGAAATATCAGTTGTTTCTCGCTGTCCGCTATCGCAACTCAGCACGGCCTGTCCGCGAATCTTGTTCCGAACCAGATGTGATCAGCTCTGATGCGCGGTTTAATGTACGCGCATGTCGCACAGCCTGTCCGCGATTCTCGTTCCGAGCGAGACGTGATCAGCTCTAATGCGCGGTTTAATGTGTGCGTATGTCGCCTCGGACAACGTCAAACCAGCAGCCGCCACGATGGCGCTGGTAGTTCCGACAGGCGAAGTAGCTCCTGTAAATTGTTGTCTTTTTTTTCTGGCGATTATTTTGCCACCTCCGAGAGTATCCCCGCGCCACTATGCGCGGCGAGGAAGGGACTAAACTAGATGGCTAGGACCCACGAGCAAATACATTGAAGGAAGCTGCAGGAGATGCGGTAGCGGTAGTCCTAGCCATCTAGTTTAGCCCCTTCTGCGCCGCGCGTAGCGGCGCGGGGAATACTCTCGGAGGTGGCACTATAGTCAACAAAAAAACGGCCCGCTACTTACATATAACTCGGGCCCTGCCGTATCGGGAGTATTCTCGCGTGTCGGTAATTTTGTTTCGTCGGCAGCTAATCCTTGTTTTGCCGCAATCTAATCGTCGTAAAAAATCCGTTGCGTTCCGCGAAACTGTCGTGCGCAATTAATACTTCTTTTGACACGGTTGAATCTCCGCAAAATAAATGCGACTTTTACATATGTGTGAGGCTCTGTTTGGGTTAACTGTCTGCGTTGCGAGGCTCTGTTTGGGTTAACTTTCTGCGTAGTTAATTTAGAACCGTTATTTCAAGTAGGAGAGTCCAGAATTTATTTAAATACATTAATAAACACAAACAGAGCTGAGAATTAAATGATGAAGCTAATGTATATGGTGACTAATACATTAACCCATTCAGCTTGTCGCTCTGAAGTAGCTAAAGGCAAATTCTAACGTCAAATAGACTTAATATATAGCCTTTTTTTTTTAAAGATGGTAATCCCAACATCCCCCTCCCCTTCCTTCTTTGTTTTTTTTCTAATTGATACTCTTAGCATATATAATCATATCAGACCTCCTAAACACTGGGCAGGTGCAAACAGAACCAATTCCATTAACTAAATTTGTAGGGAACAGGATTATGCAGCAATACAAGTTTAACGGCGATACTGGGTTATTGGCATCTTGGGTTGACAGGGTTCAGAATCGATATCACTTGGGGCATTCCTTTAAATGTTCCATCCCCCATCTTTAGCAGCCACTGCAGTTTCAGTCTTAATGGCACCTGTAGCTGTCTGATTATATGTCATCTGTCCTGCCTTTCCTGTCGAGTGTGGTCCACACTCCCTGTTCACCGTTCAGACTGTGATGATCTGTTTGCTCTTTCTTTATTTTTTTCCTTTTTTTTTCCCTTAAAAAAAGCAGTAGACACATTGTTGTGGTTTACAGCCAGGCTGTGATATCTGCACATTTCAGGCCCAGCACGTCTGATTTCCATAATTAGTAGCTTTTGACAACATGCTTTTGTTTGTCAACAACTGTAGCTTAGGCATTGTAAATACACATTGTAATTCCAGTGCACCTTTCAGCTGTGAATGATTTGGCAGCAGACCACTCTGCGTTGATTTAAACAGCTGTGTAGAGAGCCGACTGTTCAGAGGCAATAGCATACTGACCGTAAAAAGTACAGAGTAAAACCAAAACAGCCAACAATTGCTGGGTTTGGTATAGTGTCCTGTAAAGGATACACAATTGTTGTTTTTTTTCATTTTACTCTTTCAGTCCCAAGAAACACATCATATGTTTATGGGTTCCTACATGGAAACGTATTGAATGCAAGGTGCACTTATTTTACGTCTCTTTTTTCTACCCATTGAATCTCTGGGGCTCTAGCCCCTAGGACTGAAAGATGTGCTGATTTTACGTCTCTCTTTTCTACCCATTGGACCTCTAATGCCAAACCCCCTTGGACTGAAAGAGTCAAGTGGCAGTGAATCACCCACCTCCCCCTTTTTTTTTCTTTCTACCACGGGCTCTCAGAATCCACACAGGGAATTCTGATATTCTGTCTTTGATATTGCTTGATATTGTCTCCTGCCTTATTCCAGGGTGCCCACCTGGTACATTTGGACAAGACTGCAGGCAAAGATGTGACTGTCGGAACAGTGCAGAATGTGATCCAGTTTCTGGGGAATGTCTTTGCACTCCAGGATGGAGGGGATCTGCTTGTGACCAAAGTAAGTGGCTGTTGGGAACTAACTGTAAAATTTGGCTTTCAGCAGTTTGTTCATTGCAATATTCAGATTTAAAGAAATGATTTTTTTTTCTGTGCTTGTCCTTAAATGGGAGATTGATACTTTCTTTTGTTGTTTACAGCTACACTTTTTTCCTTTTTACTCACCAACATTTAGTGTCAGCATATTACTAAATTTGTAGTCTGTAATGCCATGCATGTTAAGATGTAGTGAATATAATCTCCCTACTCCCACTTGGGCCTCAGGATCGACATGACAAGTATAAATAGCTGTAAAGTTTGACTTTCAAGAACTGTGTACAAAACTTTAAAAAACTGTGAAATTTGACTTTATGAAACTGAATGTGTAAATGACTTTATGGAACTGGCTGTAAAGTTTGACTTTATGGAACTGGCTGTAAAGTCTGAATTCATGTTACTGCTTCCTCTCATAGTCCATGTTGTGTGGCAGTGGTCGGAGTGTTGGGTTACAGCTCTCTGTTTTATGTAAATCCAGTAATTTTATATAAAGGTCTTCCTCCTTTGTCAAACTGCACAACATCTTGTCTCTTCTTTTCCCCTCTTCTCTTTGCACCTCAGACTGTCCTGTTGTCACCACACACTCCATGTTACCTCTTCTATATGCATTAGAGAAGAAACAGTTTTTTTATAATTGATTTAGGTGTCCTAGGTTTACCCAGCTTAAAATGTGTACCATGAAAAATACCATGGGAAGCAACTGTGGTGGGGGGTGGGGGGGGGGAGGGGGGGGGGGGGGGGGGGGGGGGGGGGGGGGGGGGGGGGGGGGGGGGGGGGGGGGTGTTGAACTAAAAACTGGCATCACAGCACTTCAGACATTCCCATAAGAGCTCCGTCCTCATCTTCAGTGGCCAGGAAGAGTTCTGATTCCGATGATGCCTGTCACAGTTTGATTATATGTCCGTCTTGCTTTTTCTCAGAATGTAGAGCGTCGACTGGATCCCCTGGTCACCGCAAGCTGTACCAATTTCTGCCAACTGTACCATTCTCTCTAGACCATAATGATCACTTTGAGCCTATGCATTGTTCACTTGCTCCCAAAGGGCCTTGACCAAATCTAGCTTGTCATGAATAGACTCATCATCCATTAGTGCAGAACTGGCAAGTCTGTCTACCTGTTCATTTCCTAACACTGTGTTGACGACTACAATACCTATTGAGTGTCAGTTAGTCTAAAAACAATATAGGTCTAACACTACATGCCTCATCATCGGCAACTGGGTCACCCATTGGCTGGCCGGTAGACAACATTGTCGTTGGTCGGAACAGTATTTGGGTCTGTCTCTTTTAATTGCATCAACACTGCAAGAGTCCTTTTCAGGGCTACTTGGTGGCGAGCAGTGCTAAGCCATTTTATGTGGCACACATAAACCTAGTCACAATTATAACCTTAAGCTGCCCCTTCAGGGCTGCTGGCTCAATTTGACATTTTTTCTTTTCACCATCCAAGGCCAAGACTACATGCCTCATATTGGCAGTGATGTGAAATGATACTTTTGTCAGATGCCCTGTTATCTGTGACTTGCAGCTTTCTACATTCACAGAATGTCCTGCTGGTTTCTATGGTGCTGGGTGCAGCCAGCCCTGCAGGTGCCAGCATGGTGCAGCGTGTGATCATGTCAGTGGGGCTTGCATGTGTACCGCAGGCTGGAGAGGCAGACATTGTGAGAAGGCTTGCCCTGATGGCTTCTATGGCATGGAGTGTCAGAGCATGTGTAACTGTGAAGGAGGAGCTAGGTGAGTTTTTTTTTTTGGTTCTTCTTTTTCTTCTTCCTCTTCCTTGTACTTTTGTTATTACTGTTATTCCGTAACTGCAGCTTCTCGTCTTCTTCTGACTCGCTTCCTTTTTTATTGTCATTTTCCTTATCTTCTGACCATCTTCTTACCCTTTCTTCTTCTTCTTCTTATTATTATTATTATTACTATCATCATCATTGTTAGTTCTCCTGTTTCCAAGCAAAGATGGCTCGTACATTTTCATTTTTTTTTCCAAAAAAATAGGGGTCCCAAAATAAAAAACAGTGTGCATCTTAAACAATGGGAGTAAATTGTTACTAAATGACTTTCTAGACAGTATTACTTACAGGTCCCAAAATTAAGGTGACCCAAACCTCTTAAATTAAATAAAGGCTTTTTAATACAGTAAATAAAAACAAAAGGAGAAAATTTTTTTTTTTGCATTCTGTAAACAGATATCTCTGTGCAGGAAGGGATGAGATGGTTGTTAGCTTTTTTTTTTTTAAAGTTTTATTAGTTCACCACTGCTTGTCAACTCCACAGAAACTCTTTGCAACCTCATTTGGGGTCGCAATCCTTGGGTTGGGAACTCGGATGATGTTTAAACATTTCACAACAGCCTTGGGATGCAGATGTGCTGAACCATACGTGGAGGTGCCATGACCAGGGTTCACACTGGTAAAATTCAAGGAACCATCAGTGCACACAAATAAACCAGGTCTGTAAATCAGATGTGCATGCAAAACTCAACTCCTGGAACAAGACTAAAATCCAGAAGTAGATGAACAGCTAGGAATTTTCACTGAAGTTTACAGCTGGTGAACATGAAGAATGATCTTGAAACCCAGAGCCCAGACCTTACAGACTTGAGTGGATCAGTCAACAACTAAGATGGTTTGAACCTGTATGCAGAATGGGATAGAATGGCCCCCATGCAGGCATCGGAGACCAAGAACTAGAAACCAGACCTCTTGGATGACCCAGGGTCTGCTGGGAGACAACATCCAGTAGTCCACGACTGACAGAGAATTTGAATGGAACAATGCCAAAAAAATTGCTGATAGAGAAGCATGTCGATCTGTCTGGAAAATCTCTACACCATGGGGTAGGAAGGATTGACTCTTGTGCAGAGAAGAAGAAGATTTAATCATTTCATTGTATCTTTCAGCTGTGACCACATATCTGGTCAGTGCCACTGTGCGGCCTGGCAGTATGGGGAAGTCCTGCAACCACAGCTGTCCAGTGGGCTTCTATGGCATGGATTGTGAACATGCCTGTGAGTGTTTGAATGGAGCCACCTGTGATCCTGTGACAGGTTCCTGTCTGTGTCAGCCTGGTTGGAGATCAGCCCGATGTGAAGAACGTAAGTGATTGTTTTATTAAAAGTTCACTGATAGCTTTGTCGTCTGTGTATAGCATGATGCTGCCTCTTTTATTGACAAATAAGCATGTAAATATATTGAAAAATTGAAACCATCACATGTTTGACAGGAGATAGGATATTGCGTAAGATTAGGAGGGACTGAGAATCAACAGGTCTTGTTAATTGGCAGAGATATTTTACAAATAAATAATTTGTAAATTGTATCTGAGGTAATATTTTTTAACATGTCCTTTTAAAAAGAATGCAATAGTATTCACTTTCCGGAAATTTCCAGGAGGTCAGTTGCCAAACAAATGAGTTTATTTAGACGCAGAACCATCTGATGCAATCAAAAGGTAATTAGGAAATCCCACAGTGAGAACATAGATATTAAACAAGTTTTAGCATACAAGAATCTTCCAGAAGAAGTAGTGAGTAGAAAAACACATATCACGAATTCCAACATCTCAATATAAGTGGGTAAACAAACACTTGATCAACCTTCAGTCAGCAAGACTTAAAAGAGGAGGGACTAGTAACCTTGACCCTCAGAGAGAACTTTAAGTCGTTGAGACTTAGAAGCAGAGGAACCAGTGACATGGAGCCTCGAAGACAGTAACAAGAGAGGAGACCTGAATGAGACATCGAACTACAGAGACAACAGACAAGATACATAGATCCATGGTTAACAGAGACAAATTAGGTAGGAACATTATTCAGATGTTAAGAGACGATGGTCAAACCGTTTGTACCAGACAACACTAGACACCAGGCAGTAGTTACAGACACTGGAACCAGTTAACAAAGTACTTAGAGATGAAGAACACAACATGACCTCAAGAGTATGTAACCATAGAGCTAAAACAGTGGTCATTCAGAATATCATTGATGTTGTTTGTGACATTACTGAAGTATCACAATAAGAACACTATAGAAAAGAACAGTTTTTTTTTTTTGTTTCTAGACATTTTATTATTCAAGCATCAGTGATGTTAGAAGCATGTAGCAAACATGAGCGGCCATCATCGTCACTACTATCAACACGACCATCTCCTTCTCATTCGTCTGACCCATTCTGTAGCAGACAAAAGGCGAAACTGGATGTGACATCAACAAACACAAAAAAGACAGCTGTGCTACATCTTTCTGTAAGACATGACTCTGTATTCCTAACCAGGTGGGTGTCTATAGGGGTGCAACCTTGAGCAGCCAGACATTATTATTTCACTGAATGCACAAGGAATTTGATTAATCAACACAGTGCAGGCGTTACCAGTTGTTTTACACTTGTTGAGATATTGAGGAGATCAGAACCCCTATGGAACTATCAGTATCACTTTACAGAGCATACTCGAGAATGCCATGAGTGCTGTGATATCAATTCTTGACTCAGCTCAACTCAACTCCACTCATTATTGCTGTGATAATGGTCGTCATTAATCACCATGTATCTGTTTCAGCTTGCCCACCAAGGACTTATGGACAGAACTGCATGTATCGATGTTTCTGCATGCAGCGAGGCACGTGTCATCCTATTGATGGCAGCTGCAACTGCTCTACAGGTTGGCATGGTGCTGTGTGTGAAAAAGGGTGAGTATTTCACTTGGATTTCAAACTTTATTTTCAAAGGATCACAAATTGGGCATACGGGCCCGTCTTACGTTTGGCCCTTTCAGACCTTCATCTTTCATACTGCAATTGTATTTCTTCTTTTTCAGAATTGGTTTCTTCTAAACCTTGTGGGGTTCTTCTTTTTTATTTTATCGTCTCACTGATACCAGGTTATAACCCAGTGTCGTGGTTTTCTGTGTTTGTCTTGCGCTTCTCAGGTGGCTTAGGTGATAGATTTGTTCATTTTTTTGCAGGTTTCTGCTACACCATTTATCCTTCTCTTTCTTGGTCTTCCTCTCGCCTTCCTCCCAGATGTTCTGCTGTAAAAAGTATCATATGCAGTTTGGTCTGGCTGTATTCTCACTAGATGGCTGAACTATTTCATTCTTTGTCTTTCTACATAATCCAGACATGGTCTTATTGAGACTTTCTCTCTAATGCTGGTATTCGTAGCCCTGTCTCATCTAGTGTTGTTAGTGACCTTGCGGAGACAGCGCATTTCACATGTAGCTATTTTCTATTCTAATGCCCTATTCATTGCCCATGTTTGGCACTGATAACATAAAGTAGGAATAAAGATGCTACTAATCATTTGCTGTTTTGCTGCAAGGGAGACATTTTGGTTATCTAACCAGTGTGGCTAACTGACAGGTGGCAGCATTTGCTTTCTGAACTCTGTCTTGCCATACTATGTTGGTAATTCCACAGCCTTCTGTCATAGAATTGTCTGTCATTTCTGAAGCAGATGTTCTTCCACGCTGTGATGCCAAACTTTCCATTTTCTTTTCTCTTGGTTTCCCTCCTGTCTCTCTTTCCCTCCAACATTTCTACTGCTATGACTTTCCCTAGTTTTCTGCCCATAGGATGTAAACAATCTGCTTCTTATGCATCTGATCAGTTCTCTTTTTATTAATAGTGTTAATTTCTCTCAAGGAATATTCATTACTCTTTCTGTCTCTATAGTGTCCTCACCTTTTGTCTTTGAAACTACTTCTGTGCTGACTCTAAAACTACATCTGTCTTGTCTGTAAAACCAAATATGTGCTGTCTGTAAAACCATATTTGTGCTGTCTGTAAAACCCCATATATGCAGTCTGTAAAACCACATCTTTGCTGTCTGTAAAACCATATCTGATGCTTCTATAAAACATATTTCTGTGCTGTATGTAAATCCACATCTGTGCTGTCTGTAAAACCATATCTGTGCTGTCTGTAAAACCACATCTATGCTGTCTGTAAAACCATATCTGTGCTGTCTGTAAAACCACATTTATGCTGTTTATGAAACTACATCTGTGCTGTCTGTAAAACCACATATGTGCTGTTAATAAAACCACATCTGTGGTCTCTGTAAAACCACATATGTGCTGCTGTTAGTGAAACCTCTGTGATGTGTGTATGTATGTATATATATATGTGTGTGTGTGTGTGTGTATATATATAAAACCTATTTGTGCTCTTGCAGCATGTGATGAGGGATACTTTGGCCCTAACTGTGAGTCAAGATGTGACTGTGTCAACAGCAAGTCATGTGACCGGTTCAACGGAGATTGCACATGCCAGATTGGTTACAGGGGAAAACGCTGTGACAAAGGTAAGACAGTGGTTATCAGGGTGCTGACAATGTCTCCTCCTTTTTTCTTCTCTGCTCACCTTTAAAAGGGCAATTGGTGCTTTGTGTTGTGGTTTACCACTATGCTGTGATATGTGTTCACCTTTCGGCCCAACACATCCAATTTTAGCAAACAGCTTATTAGTCTCAGCTTTTTGATAAACATGCCTGTTTAGTAACCTTGAAACCCAGACAGGTACAGTGTGTTTGTTACAGTAACTTATTGTCTTTGTAGCAGCCGTGACTGTTCTGTTCTTAATCCCAGACCAACAGCATAGAAAAATTTATGTTTTTTCCTGAGATTACATTCTCTAGACTCATTAAAACAAATTTGTCATGTTTTGAAAGCTCCATATACCACTGTCTCATATGTATTGACACAAGGGTATAAGAAGGTATGATCAAATGAAACATGTCCCTATATCTTTCTTCTTCTTCTTTTTATTCTTTTTCTTTTTCTTCATCTTCTTCTACTGCTTCTTCTTCTGATTTCTCTTTTTCTTTTTTCATTTGCTCTTAGAAAAAAGGCATTTGGCACATTGTGCTGTGGTTTACAGATAGGCTGTGATATCTGTGCCTTTTGGCCCACCACATCCGATTGCAGCAAAATGTCAATCAGTTGCCTTGTACAACATGCTTGCTAAGAGCCAGCTGGTCTCTCACCCGGCCCCCAATTGTGACCTGGAACACACAATGAGAACATTTTTTTTGATTCCTGAGGTTACATTCCCAAGACTCACACAGTACAACAAATTTGTCATGTCTTTAGAGCTTTATATACAGCTATTTCTTATATATTGATAGTTTATTTTGAATATCTATTACAGGGCATGATCAGTTGAAACCTATCCAGGTATCCTTATTCTATGAATATCAAATGTATATTAGAAGGAGGTCATTAATCCGAATTAAACTGTTAGGAATCATGCACACATCTTGAGGTCATCAGAAAGAAAGACATTCATGCATTCATTCAGTCTTAACAGTAACATGTATTTTATATTTTCAAGTGTGACATCTAATGTCTGCTTATTTCTTTCACTTTTGTGATTACCAATCAAAACCTGCACATTTATTATAAGCTGTATGAAGTTTTTTTTGTCTGTCTGGTACAGTATTTGCATTTCATTTTTTTTTCTCTCATGGTAATCTAGCTTGCTCCAAGGGCTTCTTTGGCAAAGACTGTAAAGAAATTTGCCAGTGCAAAAATAATGCTGCCTGTGACCCCAGCACTGGGAAGTGTACTTGCCAACATGGTTGGACAGGCAAACTGTGTGATGAAGGTAGGATATTGTGTGTGTAAGCTGACAGAGGGATGTATTGTTGGGTTAAATAATATATGAGGATTGGCTAACCCGGGTATGATGTTTTCTCATGTTAAAGGATTTGCTGACTGATATGTGATGTTTTCCTATATTGATGAATGAGCTGACTAAGATTGGATGTTTCTCCTGTTGAAGGATTAGCTTACTGGGTTATGATGTTTTCTTATGTTGAAGGATATATGATCAATTTGCTGATTGAGGTTTATTGTTCAGGAAAAACGGACAGTGCCTCACCAAGCAGGCACTGAAAAAGGAAACAAACAGATTAAGGAAACAAAAACATTCAAAAGAAACCCTAAGTTAAACAGTATGGAAGATTAGACTGCAAACTTTATGTGATGTACAGTGATACAACATATGATGATGATGAGGAAAAGCACTAGTTGCATGCAATGATTTATGCAGATTTTTGCCAGTGGTATAATCAATTCTTGCTTTTTTCTGTTGTCAGCATGCCCCTATGGACTGTTTGGTGGTAACTGTAAGCAGAAGTGCACTTGCCCTCCTGGCCAATCCTGTTACCATGTCAACGGACAGTGTGAGTGTCCACCTGGCCTTACAGGCAAAAGATGCGAGAGTCGTGAGTACAGTTTATTAATATTTGTTTCACATAAAAACAGAACAAAACTAGGTTTCTATATATAGATACATATTAAAAATGTGCATTGTATTCCTGTGAATAAAGGAGATGTAAGGCACCTCCTTCCTTCCGCTTGCCTGCGGGATATCTCATGGGTAGGGGTAGAGTACCCTCTTAACCCCTTGGTCACGGCAGGCAGGTGATGGATAAAAATGGAGCAGCTGAGAAGTTTTCAGTACTGGTCACTTTAACTGTGCTAGACAAAAGATGCCTGTAAAGGCACAATGCCTAGAACATCCGGCCCAGTAGGGTCACTGCTCTCACAGAAAGACATTGCTACCTACTGTGAATATTTTGCAAAAAAAAAGTCATGTCTGAGTACACAAGACAGAAGGTTGTGGCTAGAAATGACTACCAACGCCACATGGCATGTACTTTGAGAAGAAGAATCCAAATGTGCGTAGAGAGAATGCCTTATGACACCATACAAGGCATACACTAAAAGAGGCAGACAGTGAGCATGAGTAGACCCAGAACAGGATGGAAAGAAAACATTAGAGAATCTACAACACCATCATGTGTCTGTAGTGGAGGTGGCCAGAAGAGCAAGATGGAGAACCTCTTATACCAGAGGAAGTAAAGAAGAGGAAAAAGCAAGACGTTAAAAGACACTGGTGTTGGATAGGATAACATTAACAAGCTGATTACATTATAATTAGAATTGTATCGCACTGGAACCCACAGGGTTGTTGCGTGTCGATTCAGGTTTTTTAACATTGATCACGCGAAGGTAGTGCAAGCCCGTTGATTCTCGAGTTCACTGGGTGTCTGATGACTCTGTGTTGACTTAAGACAGGAGATTGTAGCGTGGCTCAAGTCAGTATAGTGATTCTGGGTTGACTTAGGGCTGGAGTAACCAATGGGTAAATTGTCATACCTACTTCGAATTGAGTGAGACTGGGCACGAGAGGTATGCAGGAAAGAAAGGGAGAATCGTGCATGTACTGAGCATCTTGAGTTGCATGGAGTGCTCACAGGGCAGGCATGTGTATATACTGGGGTTGAGTTCTATTGAGCAGAGGACAGACTAGAGAACGGTCAAGAACACTCGAGAGGCCAGTCAAGGGACCAGTCAAGAGTGCAGTCGAGAAAAGAGAAGTCCAATTGGCAAAGTTGAGCCAAGGAGAGCTGGGCGTTCTCTGTGATGAAAGCTTGTCTTGGGTGACGACGCATGTGGCGGTCCTGATCCCTATTGAAACAAGACAGCAGTTCTACATACGAGGAAGACCCTCATAATGTCGGCAACAGCTGTGTTTTGAGAGGACTCAGAGCTGGGAGTTTTGCCGGTCATCATAGATTTCCTTGACCAGGCTAAGGAGCTGTGCACACATTATGAAGCTTAAGCATTGTGAAGTTTCCAATCAATGTGAAGTGTCTGCTACGAGTATAGCAACGGAGGTCAAGATGAGTAAGCTAGATGGAGCCTATTTATTCTTACTGCTAGCCCTGATGTGAGAGTAGCCATGGACCTAGGCACTGAAGCGGTGAGCTAAAGAGTTTGTAGTGACAGCTAGTGTAGGCTGTCCGATAGAGCGCCGCTAAACGGTTTTGAGTGAGCGGAGTTTGTGACATTCATTTCATGTTTAGCCAGTTAAGACATGTGAATGATGCTTCACGTTCATTATTATCTGTGCGGGTGTGTGTACTCAAACGTTCTTGTGAAATAAATGTGTATATATGGTGGCACGCCATCGACTGAGTTATCCTATGTGCAGGTTGCAGCGTTCAAGCGAAGATCATATCATAGTCAGTCACTTGACCACATGATCGTATGCTGCCAGTTTTCAGTATACAACAAGAGTTAAAGAAAAATGCTCTTGAAAAAACATTTCGAAGTCAACAATCTTTTTGTGGCAAGAAGGTGAAATACTTGAAAAAGAAACCAGTTTGCTGGAGTATGTCAGAAAAGTACAGGCAGATGGGTTTTCTCTGTCTGTGGAAATGTTACAGTTTGAAGCGCATTAGTTATCATACATCATAAAAATTCCTCAGAGTGAATTTAAAGCCATTTATGGCTGGGCTAGGTGCTTTATGGCATGAAATGACATCGTGATTCGGAAGTGGACAACGATGGCATCAGTTACCGGTATTGTTTTCATAATGTACATTTCAAATTGATGTATTGTTTATTAATAAATTTTGTACAAGTAAAAAATAGGCCTAATATCTAAAATAAAAGCCACACCCTCTTTTTCAGCAAATATTTTTGATTCAAATACTGCAGCCTATACACACACGCATAATTTCAGTAAAGGCATACAACCAAAATAAAAACAATTTTTTTTTTAAATCGAAGAGGAGATTGAGGTGAATATGGCAAAGACATGGGAGGGGGTGGGGGGGGGGGGGGGGGTGAGCTGCATGCACTGGCTGGCAAAGAACCTGATGAGTAGTGTGAGTTGGTTGAGGGCGTTTGTTTCATGTGGAGGATAAAGGGTAGAAGGAGATATAGAGTTGACTCAAAGGGATTTATTCAAAGGTTAAATTGATTTTAACTACCCATGTAGGTTCTTGAGCCCAGTTGGAGATGGGAGGTGGATAATAGATCCACTGCTCCTTATGTCGCAAAAGGCGACTAATTGAGGATTTTCAGCAAGTGCATATATCATAGCCTGGCTATGAACCACATGCCAACTGCCGTTTTAAGGGTGAACATAGAATAAGAAGATATTTTAACAGTTTTGATAATCAATGCTTGTAAGCAGTTTTTGATGCTCGGCTCGCTAGCATAGGTGGCTTAACCTGACACATTGTGGCAAACTCCTTGTGGTCCAGGTTCACACCCAGGGGTAAGCAGAGAAGCCACATTTCTGCCAGATATAGGGTATCTCACATGGAATAAAGGCCGAATGGTTGCGATATCCATAATACAGAGCCTAAGGGAACTCATGGCTTCTAGATACTCTAAAAAAAAAAAAGCAGTTTTTGATCATTATTATAAACTTTAGTCATCTGTTTGCAGAATGTGAACCTGGAAGGTTTGGGCCCAACTGCCAAGGTGTATGTGAATGTGGTGAAAATATGGTCTGCAATCATATCACAGGACATTGCATGTGCCGTTCTGGATTCTATGGGAAGAATTGTGACAAAGGTAACGTTTCACATTACAGTAGCTTGTGCTTAATCATTTAGAATTTTGACTGTAGGTACTTTTTTTAAGAAGAAAAAAAAAGGTGAAGAGTGGAGGTAGAGAGGGACAATAGGAGAGAAGGAGAAAGGTTTTTTTTTTTTCAAATAATAGGAGCTGATGGAAATAGATTCTTATTCAAAAAAAGAGATGAAAAAGAAATATGAGAAAACTAGAGAGAGATAGATCTCATTCAGTTCTTCCTCTTCTTATCACTTGAGCAGGATTATAAAGAAATGGGATATTATTTTTTATCATGCACGATTTTTAAAAAAAAAAAAAATAGCTTTAATGACTTTGGACACCAGTGGGGCAATGGGCATATTATATTAGACTTTTGTTTTAATAGATCTTATTGGATAAATCGATCAGTATCGCAAGGGCTGCCTATACTTCCCAAGACATGTTTTCTGATAACATTTTTAAAAAGGATATAGCAATGATTAAAAAATATATTCCACTTATAGATGTGACCTGCATAGCAATTTTTCTCTCTTTTTATTTTGCAAAGCATAATTTAACTGCATCCTTACTATGCCAGCTTGTTTGTTGATTTCATAATATAAGTAATTTAAATTAATCTCCAGTTTTAATTAGTCTTAGCCAGTTAAGCTTCAGCATTGCCAGTTTGTTCCTGCATTTTTAAAATTTGTTTGGCTAATTTTCAGGATTGCTTTGTTGCATTATGTAGAAAATCTCTACAACTAATTTCATAACATAACCACCGTACTATTTCTAAGCAGCTTTATATTTCAATTTTGATACTAACTTTCCTTTTAAAAAACATTAAAAAAACTATAGAATAAATATTTTTTTTTTAAACTTATTTGTTTAGTAAAAGAACCTATTCAAATTCAAAGATGTATTGGGTTTATAGCGCTAGCTCCATATTTGTAAAGATCTCTTCTGTGTCTTGGGACCCGTTGGTGGGGGAGAAAAAAAAGGGGGGATGATGGTCCACTGATCCCAACAGGAATGAATCCTGTATACATTATTCAGCCTTCATGAATGGTTATAAAAAATTTGCCCTACTACTGCAGTAAATACTTCATGTACTCTGTTATCTAGATATGTAAGTGCATTAATTCTGACATTTCATGTATCTAGGTACTGACTGATTGCGTAAATGACTCATTATGTGAATGTCATGAAAGTAATTGTTTTATACCTTGCTTGTTTTGTGTGTGGCATTCCAGTTCTGACTGTTGCTGCCACCTTCCCAAATAGTACTAAAAACATCATCATCATAACACCATTTTTGCATTCAGTGTTACACATTAACAATCATTGCAGCCATTGCTGTCCCCTTGCTGCCTCTGATTCTTCATTGATATCATATTATATATTTTAAATCTCAAGATATTTTCAGAATGTCTGTATTCATTCTGGGAGTCAACATGGTATAGAGGCTAGATGCTCGCCTCTGGATGGGAAGGTCGTGGGCTCGCTCCCTAGCAGACCTAGACTTTTTTCAAAAATGACCTTGGCTCTCAGGTAGACCTAGCCTTGAGTTGGTACCAAGTGCAGTCATGGAAAGTAAAGGTGGCCGGCGTGATGCTGACCACATCACCAACTTTGTGCCAATTGATCTATAAAAATATAGGTCTCCCCCCCCTTTCCGACAGTGCATGGGTGACAAAATCTATAGAGAACTGGTGCAATGAGCTAAAATCTTTGCCCAAGCCTTCTACTAAATGAAGAAGGTTCAATGTTTTTTTAATTGTTTATTTAGAGTCCTACTAAATGGTAGCAAAAGGTTCAGATTGGCTACAGTCATCCTTCAGATAGCATCGATGTTTCCTTCGAAGTCGAAGTACATTTTGCCTGATAGGCAAGGAACCAACAGACCACACAGATCTGTCAAAATGGATGTACACTTAAAACTCAACCCTAAGTACAGAAATGGAGAAACAATTAGGACTGTTACCTGAAGTTTACAGCTGGTGAAATCAAACATACAACAAAATAGTGTTCCTTATGGCCAGCAGGGTCACATGGTCACCAGAATTATGGATCAGGTCTGTGTATTTTTCCTCACCCATGCCATGTGGTCAAGCTGTCCAAGCATTTGTGAAAAGATTCCCTTTGGTCTTCTCTCCTCTAGTTTGTCAGTTCTTCTGCATTCACTCTTAACATTCTGGTTGTCACATGGTGCTGTGGTTTACAGCTAAGCTGCAGTATCTTTGCCTTTGAGACTAGCATATCCAGTTTCAGCAAACACGTAGTTAGTCGCCTATGGTATGCTTGTAAGTAGGCCATGAGGAATCTCCCCACCCCTTCCCCCTAAATTGGGGCCCGAGAACACACAAGGAAAAAGTGTGTAGCTAAGTTTTAAAATTCATTTCTTCTCGTTACATGTCATAAGAAAGACATCTTGACTGTCTATGCTTAATATCTCGTCTCTTCACAATTTTCATAGCTGATGTTTGCATTATGGGCTGAACATTGGTTTTTTTTTTTTAAACCTTGTTTCATATTTTTATATCATATTTGTACAGTTATCTGACTTCTGTTAACCTCCATCACTATCAACATCTATTGTTGTATGAGAATCCACACGTCATAGACATTTCCCTGACATTTTATCACCACATGTTTCACCCCCCAATCATCACCAGAGAGGAAGTTTGGAAGCAACAAGAAAGTTAAGAATGGCAAACATAAAGGTCCCAAGAAGCAGACCAGCAATTTTACCAGGGCTATGATGAATGACAAGGACAAGCTCAGCAAGCTCACTGCAGGTATATTGAGCTGTTGATTGTTTGTATCCATGCACCGCAACATTGTCCTTCTATGCTCCACACTGTTGTCCTTGGAGTCCAAATATCATCTCCATTTCTATGATGTTTCCAGCACTTCTGCTATCACATCATTGATCACACACCTTTTGTTTATTTTAATTTTGATTTGCAGGAGATTAGTTTTAGTTTTTGCTGTTACTAACTTTCATTATGGACACATTGTTTGTTTTTTTTTAAAAATAATTTTATATTTTTTTTTTTATCTGTGCTCTTCTATTTATTTAGAGTAAAGATAGACATTTCCCTGCTTTTAGTATTTCACCCCCCCCCACAGAGAGGAAGTTTGGAAGCAACAAGAAATTATGCTGAGTATTTGTTTTTTCAATAAAGCCAAGGTTACTTTTAGTTGTATCCATGCACCGCAACTCTCGTAACTGCCACTTGTCCTTGACTAATAAAATCATCTTATTCTAGTTGTTACCCCTCATCAACTTCCACTTTTGTTTAAGTAATTGATGACGGTTATTTTAGTTGTGTACTAACCTCATAACTTCAAAAAATAACTTTTTTTTTTCCACTTGAATAATAATAAAAGTTATTTTAGTTGTTACCTCTCATAACTTCCACTTGAATAATAATGAAGGTTATTCTAGTTGTTACCTCTCATAACTTCCACTTAAATAATAATAAAAGTTATTCTAGTTGTTACCCCTCATAACTTCCACTTAAGTAATAATGAAGGTTATTTTAGTTGTCACCCCTCATAACTTCCACCTGATTCCACTTGAATAATAATAAAAGTTATTTTAGTTGTTACCTCTCATAACTTCCACTTGAATAATAATGAAGGTTATTTTAGTTGTTAACCCTCATAACTTCCACTTGAATAATAATGAAGGTTATTTTAGTTGTTACCCCTCATAACTTCCACTTGAATAATAATGAAGGTTATTTTAGTTGTTACCCCTCATAACTTCCACTTGAAGAATAATAAACATTATTTTAGTTGTTACCCCTTATAACTTTCCCTTGAATAGTAATGAAGATTATTTTAATTGTTACCCCTCAGAACTTCCACTTAAATAGTAATGAAGGTTATTTTAGTTGTTACGACTCAAAACTTCCACTTGAATAGTAATGAAGGTTATTTTAGTTGTTACGACTCAAAACTTGCACTTTGATAGTAATGAAGGTTATTTTAGTTGTTACCCCTCATAACTTCCACTTGAATAGTAATGAAGGTTATTTTAGTTGTTACTAGGGCTGTACCGAATAGTGATTTTTACTATTTGGCCAATTACGAATAACAGGACCAACTATTCGGCCGAATACAAATACGAATAGTGTATAAAATATATCTTTAAAAAAAATAACACACACACATTCATAAAGTCAAATGTACTCTGAACTTTTACTTCACATAAAGTAGCACAGAATAGTCCTCTTCTCCTTTAGCATTCTGAGCCCATGAGGTTTACTGCTGCAGATATCACTCGTCTCCATTCATCTCTCTGGCTGGCCTTTTCTTCACAATTTGTGACAAAAGTTGTTTGCAAGTCTGGCTGGAAATTTATTCTCGATCTTCTTTTTTGTCTGCCTCGTGGTCTACGCCCATTCCTTTCTCTGGTGTATGCAGTTTTTACTTCTCTGCCATCTGACATTCTTTCAATATGCCCCAACCATTTTAGTATCTTAGCTCTCATGATGCCAGTGATCAATGGTGATTTAAACAGATTATGTGTTACGTTGTTGCTTCTCACTCTCCATTCCCCGCTGTTAGTAACTAAACTTGGAAATGTCAGCTTAGTTAATGCTTGAAAACTGCATTAGCTTTCAACAAAACCAATCGTTTCATGTTGTCAGTATTAAGGCTGTGTATGCATAAGCCGGTGTAAGGTAACTACTATTCGTATTTGGCCTGACCCCCAACTATTCGGCCGAATAAATAGGTCCACTATTTGGCCCTGAAGAGAATACTAAGCGAATATTCGGTACAGCCCTAGTTGTTACCCCTCATAACTTCCACTTGAATAGTAATGAGGGTTATTTTAGTTGCTAACCCTCAAAACTTCCATTTGAATAGTAATAAAAAGCCTTGACATTTCATTAAATTTCTTCATTGTAATATTGCTGTTATGTTAATACTTTACCACCCTTGTTTTTCTTTGTTAATTTCTTGAAAAGCACAGCTTTGATTTCGCATTTGTATTTTTTCGTTAAGATTTATAATAATATTCTAAAGCTATTGTCTTTGTGTGACTTGTTTTAACTGAACATAATTAATTATATACTAACTGTTTGTGCCTATTATGTATGGCATACTTCTCCTTGCTGAAACAAATTAACTTGTGTGAATACTAAAGTACACATTGGGGAAGGGGGGGGGAGTGGGGGGGGGGGGTTGGTTTGCGTGAGTGGGTGTGTGGTAATTAACCCAACTTGTATACTTTTAGATGTAATGAATTCAGTTTTTTTTTTTAAAACTTTACTTACATACACAATTTTTAAGATGTGAAAATTAAAGAAAAATATGGCCAGTTTGTATAATCTTTTAAACTACAAGTTGGCATGTTTCTTCATGGTTACATAACTGAAGATTGTTGTTATTTTATTGAACTTTTATTGGCACAATATATAAATGCTTTTACCTGTGTTATTATTTAGAAATTTAATTACACTGAAGCATTTTGTAACATTTTGAATTCAGCATCATGGGTGTTTGGTAAGAATGGTTAAACTCTTGCTGTGACTTTGCATGCAGCATGGTTGTGTGTTGATATGAGCTGCATATATGAGGGGGCTTTGAATGAAAACCTCTTTTTTTGGTATGTTTCAGAAGTTTGAGGGTGGGGGGGGGGGCATCTTTGAACTGTTATGACGTCACTGTGTTCATTTGCACCATAATGTCACATGCTTAATGCTCTTGACATCCTTAACGAAAATATTGACAGGTTACAAGACAATGGCATGATGATTGTATATTCTGTCACATGTTCAAGGTTTTCATTTGAAAGGCCCCTTTTTTTTTACACAGAATTACTGTTATGCATGTAATAGTTAGTTTTGTGAATTGTGAGATTTCTGTGTTGTGTATATCATTCATCATTATCATTCTCGTCGCGTACCATCCTGATTAGCAAAGATTGTCATGCTTTGGAATCTCACACAATCACCAGAATCACAGATCAGGTCAGTGTTCATGTCTCCATATGGCTAAACCATCCAGGTAGTTACCTCCTTTGCCTTCCTCTTGCCATCTTTCCATCTGTCTTACCAGTTTCATTACCAAGGCTTTTACTCATAGCATGTCCATGAAACACGGACTGCCTGTCTTTAGATATCAGTATTATAATCAATTAATGCCCAACATGGTTTGTGTTGTGAACTGCAGATTAAGAAAATGTCAAGTGGACTGTAGTTAGAGGATTTGTGCCTTATGTGATTAATTGTACGTGCATCTACTGATCTGTTATAACTGCTGCTTCTGTTGATGATTAACTGTATTTCTAGTGTAGGACTGTTTGTATTGGCACTTCTTATAGCTGCCATATGCATTAAATGCGCGTGTATGTGGTTGAACTCGCAAAGACTATAGTCTGTGTCCATTGTTTTCACAAAATGACAGTGATGGACATTTTTGGTGAATTTTTTATTGGCACAGGAAGGAAGCAGCTATGGGGATGGCCTGTTTGCTGTGGAGTTGGAACTGCGAGATTACCTGATATAATAAAATAAAGCAACCTCATCATTATCATCATGCTCTTGTACGAGCTGTGTGTCACATAGAGCTAACAATCTTATATTCTGTCCTGTGCAATCTGTGCATGGAATTTAGTTCAGCACATGTTATCTCTTTCACCATTTAGAATTTGTCTTTGATGTCCTTGTGTTCTTAATTCACTTGTTTCCCATTTTAGTGCCTGTTTAGTGATTCTCTGTCTGCTGTCATGCCATCTTCTTTCCTTATAACTATTGATACTAGCAGTTGTCCTGACTTTTTTGTCTCTTCTTCTTTCATCTTTTATTATCATTTTCCTGTTTTGCCATTTTATGTCACATAGGGCTTCCGGTCTATTCCTTCATTCCCTTCTAACTTGTGCAATACCTTTGGTATCATGGATAGAATCCAGTCCAGCATCTTTGGCCTCTCTCATCAGTGTTCATTTTGTGGTTTCTTCTGGATGTCTTCCTTTCATCAGTTCCTTTATTTCCCAATTGAATGCCAGTTTGGTGATTCTGTACTCATTTCTTCTCAGGATGTGTCCAATATCGCTCCCACTTCTCTGTCTTATAACTGTTATAACTAGAGGTTGTCCAGACATTTCTCTTATTTCTTCACCTCTTGAATTCATCCCATTTTATAGTCAACAATTTTCTGAGGCATTTGTTTTCAAATTCATTCAGCTATTGTTTCATGTCTTTATTGGCTCTTCAGTTTTGCAGGTGCATGTTAAAGTTGAAATACCATTAGAACTGAAAATACGTAACTTGTATTTTTTTGGGAGTTAGGGGCAATTTCATATTCATCAGTTTCCACAGACATTTTCTAAATCACTTAACTGCAACTTCAGCAAGGGAAGTACCCAGATTTCAATTTAAAATTCAGTTTAGTTTATTTAAAGTAGTAATGTAGAGAAACCTGCCTGTTCAGCAAAAAAATACATGTGGCATGCGAACATATGTGCGTGTGTATGTGCATACATACTTGCGTATGTGTGTGCGTGCGTGTGTGTGTCATCTTGTCATGGTGCTTTGCTGACTAATGTGGTTAGTCATGATTGTCTGCATCTTGTGATATAGACATATAGTTTAACAGAGTTGTCAGCAATACCGTTATGGATACTTATAGAAAGGGTTTTTGTGCAGGGCAACATGTTAGCATTCCTGTTTCTGTTGGGATGTCAGTCCCGCGGTATCTGCGTACTTATTGTAACTCTCTGTCATGTAAGGGGTGAGAGTAATAAAGATCAAGTCCTAACCTGCACAGTCTGTGGCAACAG